TACTACTACGTAGTAGTGTTTTAGTTTACGTTACGTTAGGTAGTAGTAGAAGAGTAGGAGAGTAGATAGTAGTAGAAGAGAGTGGTAGGAGGAGAGAGAGAGAGAGAGAGAGAGAGAGAGAGAGAGAGAGAGCATCCATGGTTAACGTGCTCTTCTCAAGGGTTCATTGTCTCCAAAGTTGATTTTATTGATTCGGTTTTTGATGAAACTGAAGGGAAGTATTTCTGGGAGAGCGGATTTAGAATGATGCACTTCAAATCTTGGTTGAAAATGCGGTTATGGATTAAGAAAAACATGTGAATCGATCATTTCCATCTCGATGACTATGGATTGGAAAAAAATGGATTCCATGCCATGGTACTGGCCTGTTTTGCAACATGTTTTCTCGATAGTCTATATATTAAGTTTTCACAAAGCTGTCACGTTTTTATTATTTTTAGCGTATCAAATTTCACAATCTGATGCGGCACTTCTATTCTTTTTTATTTTTTTGGCTAAAATGAAAAAATTGCACCCGTAATTTCGGAAAGCCATGGCATGCGCTCAAAACTGAATGGCCCAAGAGTCGAGTAGAGGGCGACATGCCAATTGACGGGTACGATTGGCAAAGAAATAAAGTTGCGGGAAAGCTCAAATGGCCCTCATGCAATTCAATAGTATGATTCGAAAAAAAAAAAGAAAAATCAAATCAAAGTCCACATAAAATGGATCAAAATAAGCCGAGGATGGTAGGCCAAGTTATCCATTTCCAAGAGAGTTTGCAAATGTTTCTATGTATGCTGTAAGGAATCTTTTCTCATACATGGTTTTTAGTTGAATGGTATAGATTAGGCACCGAAATCACGAGGGAAGGGAAGTAGGTGAGAAGCTCTAGTTTCTTCTCCTTTTATCCAAAATATTGTTTTTTGAATTATACAATTATTTAAAGCCCTAGTATCATAGCAATGGGATAATAATAAAAAGCCTTGGTTTCTCTTTTGATTTTAAAGCCGTTTCTAATGCCCATGGCCCAAATTGATAATTAGGTGGCTGTAATTGTATTTTGTATTTTAATATATGTATAAAGAGGGAAATGAGTTTAGGGAGATTCCAACCAATATTGAACGTTAGATATGAAACTGGGCAATTGGAGTTGTGTCTAGATAAAATGTAAAGCTCATAATAATAATTTTTTTGAATGATGTGACATTTCAATCCATTTGATTGCACATACTATGGGTAAAAATGATTTTTTACTATTTTGTATCAAAAGTAAATAGTCTCGTGGTATATAATCCTTCAAAAACATTACTTTTCATATTTTAATTTACTCTTTCTAATCCCATATAAATTATGAGGAAAATATACAAAGAAACCGTTTACTTTTTGTACGAGGAGATCGTAATCACTCTTTTCTTTTAAATTTTAAATTCGGTGGTTGTAAGAGTACCATTGACAGACTCGGATCAAAATTATTTTTCTCAGATTTTATGATTAGTCCAAGCCATCCAATTTGACATCTAATGAATAGGAATAACTGTGACTTCCTTGTAATAAAGATAAATGATCTCATTGTATACAATCTCATAAATTATATAGATTTTGTAGCATGTGTGTAACTAAATTAGGTAAACCACATAAAGATATAAAAAGGTTTGGCCTGTCAAAAAAAAGGACATGGTTTTTTATGAGTCTATATACTCGCATGTAGAAATTGGCCCCCCTTAATTTATATTTAAATAGATTTTTATCCTAAATTTTAGGGACTATATAGTCTTTCACATGGAGATTATTAATATGTAAAAATAATTAAATTTTATAAACCTATAAATGATATATTTTGGGGAAAATATTTAAAATATTGATTTTATTTTTTCTTTGGAGGATTATTATTTATAGGACCCAATTTTGGTGAATGGTGTAGATCTTCGAGCCGGCATAGTAATAGGTGTGGGCTTGGACATACCAAACAATTTTCCCAAAAAAATTTGATTGAATTACCCTTGAAAAATTCAGGGGTATTTAAGCAATTTATATTGACAAAATATTTTACTTATACTTTTATTAGATGTTGCCTTATCTGATCCTTATTCGCACCAAAAGTCCATTGAGGATTTGTTTTAAAAAGCAAAGTTTTTGTTTTTTAAGGTCAGTCAGTGGGGAAGAAGGTTCCCTACCTGTTTTTCATAATTAATTAAGAGATAGAAAGTATACAGCTCATTATCATAAAACCCTAGAACAGTAGCTCCTTGGTAAGATGTAACCCTCTTTACAAGAATATCAACCACCATATAGGCTTCATGAAAGATATGGGAAATGGACCACCCACACTTAGAAAGACGTTGACAATTTACTGCCATCGTATGTAACTTCTATAGAGGCCAACAGTGTTCATGAATAACATTAACGAGCAATGCTAATTCACTTTCAATTTGAACAAGGTAGCACTGTAGCTGAATCCTTCTTCTAAAGCGCAAAATTTTGCATAATTATTAGAGACGATTCCAAAAGGTTTGATAAATACTGCAATAAAAGTACCATCAGAATTCCTAATAACGTCCCCCCTCACCCGGCCTTGCTTGACCTAGGTTATATAAGGAAGGCCTATCAATGTTTATCTTAAAGTGATTAGGGCTAGCAAATGACTATGCCACTGGAATACTAATTTTATCCCTCTGTTCATACTATTTGAACTGTAAGTTATCAATGATCGCCTTTATGACAAATGAAATGTCCAGGATTTGGCATCAGCTAGCTCCTGAACATGAGAAATGATCTGTTTGACTAATTGTTCCTTTCTGGTCAACCTATCCTTGAAAACTCTCCGGTTGCGTTCCGCCCGTAAGAACCATATAATTGTGAAGAATACAAAGGTCTAAATATTGAAGAAACCATTTGACTTGAATATGAATGATAATCATTTTCTCAACATAATAGGAATAGAAATGCCAGAGATGAAACGCTTATCGCATCGCCAGGCAACCAACCTCCATATACCCTGCGAAAAGTCACAAATAAATAATAGATGACATGAACTATCGTCATTATGTGCAAAAAGGGCATACATGAGGAGCCATAGCAATCCCACACTGCTGCAAGAGAGAAGCAGTAGGTAACCGATGATGGAGGGCCAACCAAGAAAATCATTTCGCACGGGGATGACATTTTGCTGACCACAAGGTTCTAAATATTGCCTGAGAAGTTCCCTTGTTACGAATATACTCCCAAGCTTCTTTAGTTGAGAACAAACTACTCACAGATTTAATCCACACCAAAAATCCCTATGTAGCTGCGTAGGCAGGGGTAAAACCCAAGAGTGAAGAACACCACCAATACGATCAGAGACCTTTGGCATAGCAACCTCAAGGTCCTGATGAACAATCGTACCATAAGAGTCCCATACTGATTTTTTTGATAAATAAGGGTCTGCCCAAAAATCCCCAAGATGACCATCACCAATTAGACATTATCCTTCAAATGCGATAACCCGCGCCGGATAGCCTTCCAAGCATAAGATGAGTATCTTTTGTATTTAGTCTCCCATATGGAAGAATTATTGAACTAAGGATGAAGGATCTGCCAATGTTCTCCATGCTAATTTCATTATCCCTACAATATTGAAATCGACTATATCATGTATCCCTAGACCCCCTTCTGCTTGAGGTAGACAAATTGTGTTCCATTTAATTAGATGAACCCCCTTCTTTCCTCCCATGCTTGCCCATAGGAAATTTCTCTGCAACCGTTCAATCATATTACAGGTTCTCTTTGGTAAAATGAATGATAGAATCCAAAATATAAAAGAAGCGCATAAGATAAAGTCAAAGCTTGCTAATAACCTATCCTTCCAATAACTTTTCCAACCCAAGCATGACACCGACTATGCTTCAAATGACCATGAAACAAAGGTAACCCTAGGTAATGGATTGGAAGGGAACCTTCACTAAAATCAAATTCCTTCAGAATCAAAGATTTATTACCTTGCGAGACCCAAAAAAAAAAGTCTTTGCTTTTTGTAGTATTAAGTTCTTGTCCTGTAGTTGGTTAAAAAATTAGAGAGAACTGACTTCATAACAACAACAATATTAATTGAAGCATTACAAAAAATCGCAGCATCATCCGCATAAAACAGATGTGATATTCCGTAATCACAATATGAAGGAAAAGCCCTAGTAATTATACCTTGCTTGATAGCTTAATCCAATTATCTACTCAAAAAATCCATTATCAGTAGAAAAAGATAAGGAAATAACGTCTCCCTTGTGTTAGACTTCTTTGTCCTTAGAATAACCCTTAGAAGAACCATTACGCAACACATAGAAGGAATGAGTGGATATGCATAAACTAACCCATGATATAAAAGTATATGAAAATCTCAAAGCATTCATACGAGCAATAACAAAGGACCAAGATACTTTATCATAAGCACTGCTCAAATCTAATTGCAAGCACATTTTTTGTCTTATTAGAATACTTATTGCATATAGATATGAGTTCATTTGCCATGAAGAAGTTATTTATAATAAGTCTACCTTTCAGGAAGGCATTTAAAACGCAATTAAAATATATAATGTAATTATGGCCACCCAATTTGACCCGGATCTATCCATTGGACGCATCATCTTTTTCCACACATACACATCATATTTAATGAGATGAAGTTTCTATAAGGCCTCGCCTTAATAAAAACAAAATAAAGCCTCACTTCAAATCCCCATTTGTAAAGCAATGGAAATCTCTCTGATGGCTCTAAAATCAATTTCCAACACCGACAATAAAATTTAAAACTAAAACATGATACAGATCTTGCATATTTGTGAATAATTA